TCTCAACAACCAAAAGATAAAATAGAGCAGCTTTGAATGCTTGGGGGTAATATCATTCACTGTCATCTCTCATAAGTTTTATAAGAGGTACAATTTGGAGAACACTCTGATAATATAAAACAGGGATCCATAAAAATATATATTTAATTTGTCCTATAATTTCACTTCAAGAATTTCAGAAAACAGTAAGATATTACATCTGCATTGATATTTATTGTATATGCAGTAGCAAAAATACTAAATGTTCATTGATAGTGAGTTATAATAACTAGCACAATAGAATTTCATGCAACTACTGGTGATCATAATTATAAAATCATAATCAAAATGATAAAAATTGAAAAATGTTTATTTTATGTGAATCCAAAAAGTATGCATTTTGTTTGTTGAACAGAATTGTAACTTTCTCTGCCTCTGTCTGTCTCTGTCTCTCTTTCTCTGTCTCTCTCATGTGCTCACTTCTGTTATCTATATTGTAGACTATACAATGAGGCAATTTGTTTTGTCTCTACTTAGTGAGAAGCACAAATTAGTTGTTCCTCTGTCTCCTTTCTGTTCACTGATTCATTTATTGATTTATGAGCTGATTGGTCTCTTCTATAAGCAAATAATCCTGAGTTCTTGTGTATCAGAACTGCAGTGGGGCTCTGGGTGTGGAGTAGGCCACTGTGTCACTCCCTTGGGCTAGCCACGTCCCCATGCTTTTGTAGACAGGATTGTTCCATTAAAATGTCATTTTAGATTTCACCACAAAAGTTATCTTCTGATGGAAGAGTTATCTAACAAGCACAAGGCATGCATTTTAGAAATAGCTTATGTGTATTTTTCATCTTTAGATAGAAAAACAACAAAGAAATTCATTTTTTAAACATGCTTAAGCTATCAGAGGTTACTTTGGATGCACTCCAAAAAGTTCTTAAATAAAAAAGGTTTAAAATAAAGTATTTCATATAAATATGGAAAATATTAGATTAATATAAAGAAGACTGTGAAATTGTATTCCAGTGTTAAGAAATTAAAAATTGGGGCTGGGCAGATGGCTCAGTGGAATAAGCACTTCCCTGGCAAACACAAGGGCCTGAGTTCAATCCCCGGTTCCACACACACACAAAAAAAAGGAAATTAAAAATAGACTAAATTTCTGTCTTTGAAGTCTTAATACTTTTGTAATTTAAGGGACATTATTGACAAAACTATAGAGACATGTAGGCTGGCGATTCTATTAGGAAGAATACTATAAATAACTGTACAGAATACAATGAAATGGTATTTACTATATTTTTTCAGTTTATTTTGGTTTTTTTGGGGGGGACATTTTATTTTTTAAAGAGAATAAATAATAGTATTTTTAAAAAGCCATTAGAAGCGATGCAGAATTTTGCTAAACACAGTGATAGGAACTCAACAGTGGTTGGCATACTGCATATTGTCTTCAAATTAGTTGTTCAGAATACCAGACATAAGCATGCAAAATTAAATTTAAAAAATAAAAAAGAAGAAAAAAAATTAACTATTCACTGTTCCTTTCAATAGACTAGTAGAAATCAGCAGTACAAATATATATATATATATATATATATATATATATATTTCCCCCTTTTCTTCCTTTTCTTTTCTTTTCTCCTTTCCCTCATCCCGCTTTGAAATGATATGTAAATGTTAAGCAAAAGTAAATCTGGGGCCAGGGAGGTAGCTAAGCAGTCTAAGTGCCTGCCTGGCAAGCTCAAAAGTTCAATCCCCGGTGCTACATGCTGTGCCAGTCCTGCACCGAACTGGCCACTGAAACTGTGCATGTGGTGCATGCCTGTAATCCTAGTACTGGGGAGGCTGACACAGGAAGATCACTATGAGTCTGAGCTATACAGTGAGATCCTGTACCAAATAAATAAATAAATAAATAAATAAATAGATTTTTTTAAAAATTAAAAAATGTGGGGCCGGGGAGATGGCTCAGTGGAATAAGCGCTTCCCTGGCAAGTGCAAGGGCCTGAGTTCAATCCCCAGTCCGCCAAAAAAAAAAAAAAAAATTAAAAATTAAAAAAATGTAAATTTGGTCCACAGAAAATTGTATTTCTGCCTTACATGTGGTTTGAGGATTCTAAAATCTTTTTTATATGTTTTTTAAATTCATCATCCTAGGGGCCAGCCAAATAGCTCAGTGGATTAAAGAGCCTGCAAGCAGGCACAGGGGACGGGGGTTCGATGCCACCAGGCCGCACTGAGATGGCAATTGAGACTGGGCATGGTGGCACACACCTGTAATCCCAGCTTTTGGGAGGCTATAAATGGGCAGATCACTATGAGTCCAATCTAGTAGTGAGACCTTGAACACCCTGTAGACCCTTCCCTAAAATACAAAAAAAAAAAAAAAAAAAACTTTTACTATGATAGTTTTGTTATTTATTTTTGTTTCTGAGGCTGTTTCACCATAGATCAAAAACAGCATAGCTAACTCAATCCACAAGTAATTCTCAGTGTCTCTTATGAGCACATCAGTATTCCAGTGACAACAGCAGAGCAAGCAATGATAATTTACCTTCTTCCTCTCCTGTATTGTTCCTTTCATTTCCTTCTCTTGCGTCATTGCCCTGGCTCATGTTTGCGCAACTGTATTAATAAGAATGGAGCTAGTGGACATCTTAGTCTTGTTACTGATTTTAGAGTGAAAGCTTTCATTTTTTGTCCTTTTAGTATGATGTTGCCTGTTGATTTGTCATAGATGGCTATTATCAGATTGAAATAAAGACCATCTGTTCCAATTTTCTATACGGTTTTTGTCATGAATGGGTGCTGGGCTTTGTCAAACACTTTTTCTTTATCTGTTGAGATGATCATATGGTTTTTGTCCTTGGTTCTCTTAAGATGTTTAAAAAAAATGTCTGTTCTCAGGGAGCTTAGGATCCACTCGAAACCGTCACAGATATCTTTCTTTATTGCACACTGATTCCTTGTAAAAAAAAATTATCATTAAAATGTTATTTTAGGGGGCTGGGGAGATGGCTCAGTGGAATAAGTGCTTCCCTGGCAAGCGCTAGGGCCTGAGTTTAATCCCTCAGTTCCGCCAAAAGAAAAAAAAATGCTATTTTAAAAAATCATTTATATTTTGTATCAATAATTTATATTTTTCCTTGATAGAATTAGCATAAACATATGGCTCCTTCTTTCACTAGAAGACTTGTTTTAGGACTATATTTAACTGCAAAATCAGCAGCCTGAAATAAACACTATACCAAGCTTGGGAAATGAGAATATGTAAAGAATTTTGAATAGCATTTTTCTTTTTTTCTGTTTTTCTAAAAACATTGATGATCTTTAATATTAAATGTAAGAACCAATATGATCTATGTGCTGGAAAATATCTATAAAACTTTAGTTAAAGTTAACATGATCAGATATTTACAGAACATGATTGGGTTGAGTGGGTTGAAAATGTATTTTCCTAATGATTCTAGAGATAATGCTAATTGAAGTTATATTCTTTTCTTCATTTTTTGATTTCATTTTTATTCTGCCTGGAGGGGAAAAAAGAAAAATAAGCATATGAAAGTAATATGTAGCTTGTTTTTAATTTCCATAGCTTTCAAGTAGAGATGTTGATTTTTCAAGTCTATTAGAAGCTCAGCATGGGACAGCATTCTTTTTTAAGTAGTTTGCATATTTAGAGATCTCCCCTGAAGCAAGAGAAGATAGGGAACACAGGAAAAAGTAATTAATTTTGCAGTAGAGGATTGAAAGGACTTTTCTGGCATTCGTTTCAGAAAAGAATTAATATTAAGAAGTGGATGGTAATATGGAATGCATTTTGAGATAATAGTACTAAATATCTAAGTGTTACTTTATCCGAGCTATTGGGTATCATGGTTATATTAACGCTGGCTACAGAAGAAAACATTTTCAACTTTGAGGGAAAAAATAAATTTTTTCTTAAAGCTAGAATTCTCATTTAACTAATAACTTCAACTTTTACTTATCAAATCATCATAGGGGCTTTGAATTTATGAGCTTCAAATTTGTGTAAAAACTGATTTGCCAAAAGTGGTTTTGTCAAAATATTTTCTATTCTCTCTATGTAAAATCCCGATACCTATTTTGTCATCTTTGATAAATGGTGGAAGGCATACCCTAGAAGATATTAAAAATATGAGATGAGGAGATGTACAATATCAAAGCATTTAAGGAGTTCTTTTCTCAGTTTGCAGCTTTTGACTTTTAGAATTACTGATACGTAAAATGATGTTGGAATAATGACTGTTAAAGGTAGCAGTCACTGGGCTGGAGAGATAGCTTGGCTGCCTAAGTGACTGCCTGGCATGTGCAAGGTTCCAAGTTCAATCCGGTGCAGGGCCCAGAACCCAGCATGGTGCCAGCCACTGAAACCAGGCATAGTGGTGCTTGCCTGTAATCCCAGCATTCAGGAGGCTGAGACGAGAGGATCACAATGAGTCCGAACTGTGTAGCGAGACCCTGTATCCAAAAACAAAAGCAAAAAACAAGCAAAAAGGGTAGCAGTCACCTACTTAATGGCCCAATTCCCTTCACCTTTCTTTTCCTAAACCAGTTTTATTTGTTTATGACCCTTGTTTTTCTACATCTGTGTTTAATGTGGGGGCTGCCATTGGACCTGTTGTACCAAAAGCTTGACCACCACTAAATCTGAAGACATTTTGAATCATTAGACGGTAGATAAATATTAGGAAGGGAATAAAAACCTGTGGCCTCTTCATATCAGTTTTGTGCCTTGTATTATAATTGTATTAAGCTACAGTATCTTGTACATCTGCTTCCTTGCGATCAGTGTTTTGTCTCATCTGCCGTTAGCCCTCTGGTCTGGAACTGATTATATAGGGCAAATTGGAAAGGCCATCTGGAAACATGGTTTGGCCTGATTTCTAATGCATGTTTTGATTGATACTAATTATATAGCTTATTTCATTATTTGTCTTTCTGACTGTTTACTGTTGGAAAAGAAGACCCTAATCTAAATTAAATTGTTTTCAAAGGCTTTGGATCTGGCCGCCCTTTCCACGGAACATTCTCAGTACAAGGACTGGTGGTGGAAAGTACAGATTGGAAAATGCTACTACAGGTAAAACGGTGATTGGTGGCGAAGGCCTTAGAAATGGCAGTGTGGGTTTTACAGCACATTGATAAATAACTTGCTGAACACTGACTGTAAGCTCCATCCCAAACACTCACATGGGCTTACGCTCATTTAACTTTTAATAGCAGCACTGTAGAGATAACATTATTTCCATTTTAAGGTGGAGAAACTGTCACACAAGCTTTGGAAATGGATTGCTCTGACTTACATAGCTGGTAAGAGGCAGATCCAGGATTCACGCTCAGGAGGAGAGGCAGCTGCCCTTGTATATTGGCTTCTTATGTCTTGATGCTGCAGCCTTAAGCAATGTGTCTTGAATATATCTTTTTGGGGGAGAAGGGATGATAGATTCCCCATGAGGACGTAAGGACCTTGGCTTACTGAGAGAGCATTTATTGAACAGTCACATGGCAACCCTAAGAACAGTTATCCTTAGAACAGTGAAAATGTGGAGCTGTGAGTGGGAAACTTGGGGACCTCAGGTTCAAGTCTCCCTTTCAGAGGAGGGAGCTGAGGCCAGAGCAGCTGTGACTTTGAGCAGGAGCCAGAGAGTAACAAACCTGGCTCCGGAACTGAGCCTCCTAATTGCAGTGGCGTCCTCCTGCCTCTCAGGTGTCTGTCATTTACGCTGACGCCTCCTGTGCAGAAGGCCCTTCCGCAGTTAGGCGCTAGTTTGTTTTCACAGTCTTTCAATCTCACAGTGCCTCAGAGATAGCTGCTGTTATTCAGAATTTTCTCCGGTGAGAAAAATTGAGCTTCACAAAGACAAGGTGAATGACAGAGTGAGAATCTGAGCCCTACTTTCTGATGCCAGTGCTCTGTTTTTACAATTGCATCTTATTGCTGTAGGTCCTGAATATTCTTACATTCACTTAGTATTTAGATACATTTCAGGTAAAAACAACTGAAAGATCCGAAAAGTCATAATTATTTTTATAAGTATTTATATAACAACTAGTGAATAAGACCTGAAATTTAGTGCTGCTATTGAAATGCATTTTGAACATTTGGAAAAACACAAATTTATTGCAGTTATATTTTATAATTACAACAATGCATATTCAAAAGTAAGATAGATTTCACTTTCAGTATTTATGAACTTACTTTGTTTTGGTTTGTCTTTTTTTTTTTTTCCTACAGTTTTATTGATAAACATATAGCAATGAGACAGTTTCAAATCAAATCGGAAGTACAGTTTCAACAAATAATACACTGCATATATTCT